CGTCGCGGTGCAGGTGCGCGGCGAAGGCCTCGGCCCTGGGCGACCCCCTCGCTGTTCGGGGGCCCACAGGGCCTGGCGAATCCCCTGCGGGCCCTCGGGGTGCCCGTGTTTGTGTGAAACCGTCTCTGAAGTGGTTGGAGTGTTGACATAGCCCCAGCTGCCCCTACCAGCCATGCTGAGGAGGGAGCCAAGGCTGCTCCTCGAGTCCTGTGTCCGGTTTGGGGCCCTTCACTACAAGAAGGACGTGGAGGTGCTGGAGCATGTCCAGAGAAGGGCAGCGAAGCTGGTGAAGGGGGTGGAGCACAGACCGAGGGGCGGCTAAGGGAGCCGGGGTTATTTAGTGTGGAGAAGAGGAGACTCGGGGGAGACCTTATTGCTCTACAACTACCTGAAAGGAGGCTGTAGGGAAGGCGGGGGTCGGTCTCTTCTCCAGAATAGCTAGAGATAGAACCAGAGGAAATGGCCTCAAGATGCGCCAGGAGAGGTTCGGGTTAGGCATCAGGAAGAATTTCTACATGGAAAGAGGAGTCAAGCATTGGAACAGGCTACCCAGGGAAGTGGTGGAGTCATCGTCCCTAGCAGTGTTCGAGAACCGTGTAGATGAGGTGCTTGAGGACCTGGTTTAACAGGCATGGTGTTGAAGGGCTTATGGGTGGACCGGATGATCTTGAAGGTTTTTTTCAACCATTATGACTCTATGCTCCCATATAGATCTAGCAGGACCCTTTAACTACAGCATCCAGCTGTGCTTGTATGGACAGCATGGGCTGCAATAGCCTCTCGCCAAAGTTGGCCCTGCTGCCTCTTTTTTGCCCCAGGTCTTTGCTGTGGCGTTGTCCTTCTTTTGTGCTGGCACAACTATTTATTCATTCATTCATTCATTCATTCAACTGCTTTGAGGAACTGATTTATCTTAAAACCAAGCTTAAAACCACCAAACTTGTGGTCTGCTCCGAGCTGGAGCTCTTTCTTAGTTCGGGAGCTTTGTGTCTTTCAGGAGGAGGCCTTGTTAAATTTGAGAAAAAACCTCCACTACTGTATGCTAAACATTAGACATCAGCTGCAGTGTGTCTGATGTGTTCTAGGAATTTAACCAGCTTCTGGGGTACAGAGCCTGTGTGCAAGGGCTGCGGACATTTTACTGTGTAAATACCTTGAAAACACCTGTTGCTTTAACCATAAGAATATTAGATTGCCCAGGCTTTAGTTTATTTAGATTTTTATCTCATTCCCAGTATTAGTTACTGCTATCTGGTGGGGTGTCCTCCAGAGGACTCCACAGATAAACGCCTCCCTGGAGACAAGTTGTGCTAAGCAGTTGGTATATTTAGGTTTATGGCATTATAATCTTCTGTAGTTCTCACACCTCAGTTTAGTAGATATTTACTGTTCAGAGGGGAGCTGTTAGGGTTGTCTGTAAATACCTAAGAAATTTTAAATGTCTTTGTTGCATCTTAGCTGGGAAGTAAGATCTGGATTTGACTGTTTCTGGTACTCGTGCATCTCTTCATGTGTGAGCCTACATCATACCTTTACTGTTACATAGTCATATTGTAATTTTAAAAATGCTTTTTTACTTTTGGTACTGTTTAATTCTTGCTGTTTCTTCAGTCTAGACAATAGAATTAGACTGCTTAGATTTTTTTTTTTTGGTCTAAAATCTCTACAGCACTTGCTCAGTTTGAAGTCATTCAAACAATTTAGACACTTAAACAAGAGACAAAAATGTTGGGAAAAATGAAGCCCGTTTGGTTGTTTAGTCAGCAATGTATTCTGTTATTCTCAACAGTATTTTCTTAAGATGAATTGGAAGCACCAAGTGGGTATTTTTTGTTTGAAGGGCAACTTTGCCTTAACTCTAATGTGTTAAGGAGCAGCTAAGGGAATTGTATTTTCCATGCTATTGCTTCTGCTTGATGTCTGGGTATTGACTGTAAATTTTAATTTATTTGGAAATCTGCAAATTCAAAATAAGACTTTGTCCTGTTGTGTCCATGGCCAGTTCTACTGTTTTGCAGGTATAGAGAGCTGTTGTGGAGTGTTTTTTATTCAAACTGGATGAGAGTGCTCCTTTTCTTTGTTCTTATTTTCTTATTTGTTTTTTATATAATTTTATTTACTTACTCTTTTTATTTCCGTGGAGAATGGTGTACGTGTTTTCAGGAGGGTTGGTAACATTTCAAACAACAATAGTTTGTTAAATCATAGTGGTGATTTTTCAGATTTCAGTTAAAATATTTTGATTTCGAGCTATGAAGAGAAACATCCCAAACTGCTAGAACATTAGTTTGGGTTTTACATGAATATTTAATTTTCACCTGAATCTATTGGCCATGGTGTCATTGTTGTAAAAGCACCATGACTTAGGACACATAAGCACTTAAATAAATTTCTCTTAGGGTCTTCCTGCAGGTGATTTTATGTACAGCAAAAAAAAAAAGTTACTAAAATCGTAAAAATAGCCTCAATTGTGTTTTCTTAATGAACTGTATATTTCTAGTTTTGTCGTAATAAGATGTGTTTTGAAGAGACATCACAAGTAAGAATAAGCCTCTCATCTTCAAAGTGCCTGGGCAATTTCAGCATCCTCAGCTTCTGAGAGAAGCCCATAGATCTCACTGATCTCTGCTGTACTGGTGAGGACAGTTGGTGATTCTGCCCCAGGTTTTGCTCCTGTCTGCTTTGAAGTCAGCAGCAAAACCTGAGACTGGCTTTTCTTGCCCTTAAAGGAGTATTTCCTTTGACTTCAGTAAGCTGAAGGAGATCTGAAATGATGTCTGCAGCTCAGCTGGAAGAGGAGCATCACTATACTGAATTTATGCCAAGCAGTAACAAATTTCTCTTTTCTTTTACCTCTAGGGCTGGGTCCGCTCTGTCCGATCCCAGAAGGAGGTTTTGTTCTTGCATATAAATGATGGGAGTTCTCTGGAAAACCTCCAGGTGGTTGCTGATCCCAGCCTGGGAACTAGGTATGTCAGTTTGAGGTACTGGGAGGAATATCTGTGTTGGTCAGTGTTTGGAGGCATCTGCCCAGGCCTTCTGCCCTCTGCCAGTAACTGTTGAGACTGCTGGAAGAACATCCAGCAGCTGGAACCACAGGAGAGGCACAGCTCCCTGTTGGGGCTTCTGGGTGTGTTTTTAGGATGGAAAGTGCCCAGCTAAGTGTCTGCGTTTAGCTGAAGCCTTGTGGGTCAGCTTCCTGGTCCATGGGACTAATATCAATCTGATTTGCTTAATAGCTGTAGCTGTGCAGGCATTCCAGACTACCGTGTCATAAACTCTTCCGGAGCCCAGCCCTGTGGATCTGTTCATGTTGCCACCTATTCATATAACAAATTTCCATTTCATTGATTCTAAGACATGCTGTTGCCATAGGACTTAATCTCAAGTGGTCCTGCAAAATTAACAGGCATCTTTCTTTTGAATGTAGTTAACTGTGTCAGTGCTTGGTTAGTTTGTGTTGTTCTTGGTTTCTTAGAGACCTGACTTTCGGAAGCGCGGTGGAAGTGCAAGGGAAACTGGTCAAAAGTCCTCATAGGATGCAAAACATGGAGCTGAAAGCTGAAACGATTCGTGTGGTGGGACCTTGTGATATTTGGGTATGTCACTGCAGCAGTCAGTCAAGCTGGTAGGATCGCTTTGGGAAATGAATTTCAAAAGGCCAGGTATCTAACAGAGCATGCAACATAATTTCCTTTAACTCTGAATGCTCCTATGGGCTCTCATCCCTCACTGATATGTACAGGAGCTAGTATGTCAAAGGAGAAAACAGATAGATGGGAATGCCATGAAAATTTCTTCTTGGACAGAGCTGTTTGCATGGAAATTGGTGTAGATGCTGGCATCTGTGTGCCTTTATCCCATCCTGAACAACTTACCTGTTTGAGCGTGTGTATATGGCCTGGCTACAAATGAGCTAAATACTGCAGATTGTGCGGGCAGAAGAACTGTCTGCCTTGTTCATCGATCTGTGCAGTAGGACCCAGCTCAGTGCTCCAGTACTAAGATGGGCAGCTGTCTTCAAAGAGACTAAACATTCATGAGGTGCAGCCTTTTCAGAATCTGATCTTTTGCTCTGGCCTCAGGGGTTATAAAATCCACAAAATAGCTAGAAAGAATAGTAAAAAAGCACCTTTTCCCTGCTCTGTAGTACAGATTGAATTATACTGACTCTGTGTTCTCATCTTTTTGTTTTTCTTCCCTTGCTGCTTTTAGTCATTCCCCCTGAAAATGAAGGAGAGGCACCCTCTGGAGTACGTCCGGCAGTTCCCTCACCTGCGCTGCAGGAGCAACGCGCTCGGCTCCCTCTTGAGAGTGCGCAGCGAGGCCACTGCAGCAATCCACTCCTTCTTCAAGGTAGTCCCTCTGTGCTGAGTGGCGTGTCAAACACTCCCCCAGGTTAGGTTTTGCAGTTGTATTTCAAGAGGGACAGAGCGTGGTTTATTGCCTACAAGGTATGGATTTGGCACACAGTTTGCTTTTTGGGTCTTGGTCTGATTGATACATTAGCCAAGACATTTGTTTATGATGAAGTTAGCAGCACATCTGTGCTCTTGTTAGTGTGTTACCACCCGTTTCTTATTAGTTATTTTGCCCCTTTTACTAAGTTGCAGTATAAATGTGAGTGTGTGTGATCTGTGGAACACTGCATAATATGGAGCCGTTTAACCCATCTTCAGCAATGACCTTAGGAATCCTTGGACAAAAGGATTCCTCCCACATGGAAAAATCTATGATTCTGGATGGCTACAAAGTGACTCAGAGCTTTATGTTATTCCTTTCAGTTCTTACCTCTCTTGCTTCATAACAATCTGCCTGGATGCTGTTACTTCAGAGTGAGAGGTTCCTGTTCTGGTGCATCTTAAATTGGTGCATGGGAAGCACCTGCATTTCAGGGATGTGTTGACACTTTTAAGCTGTGGTCGCAGGCAAAGGCTGAGTACAGGCAATGGCAGCAGGGGGCAGTGAATTAACCTCTTCCAGATGCTGTGTGGGGAGCCTAAGATTCTCTGTGGGAGCAGATAACGAAGGGTTGAAAGTCCTGTAGCATACTTGAACCCTTTCTTTTATAGCTGTTCATTGAAATAAACTTGTCTGTGCCTTTGGTTTGGATAAAACAAAGCATTCTGATTACAAAGTTCATTTGTAGTAATTATTTCCTAACCCAAAGAAAAGGTCAGAGATCTTGAGTTTGAATTTCTGGCCCTGAATTTGCTTGCGGTGGCAGAGGAGGCTTGCTGTTTGTTGAAACTGCCTGGTGTTTTGAAGGGTTTTAAGAGGCTCTGTAGAGATAATATGTCAGTTTTCAGTTTTGTGCCACCTCTTAATTGAATTTGGAGATTGGTTTGTGCTGCTCTGTAGCCACTAGATGGCATTACCTACAACATTTTATAATCTCAAAGCAGGACGAGGAAGTCAGTTGAGCTACAAAGCTTCTTATTTTGGCAAAGACGTGAATTCTCCTAAATAAATCCAGTTCGGATTCTCCTAAATAACTCCAGTTAGGATTCTGCTATATCTTCCTGGTTAAAATGCTCAAGAGTTGCACAGTACTAAAAATATAAATTATTGTTATTTTCAGCAGCAGATTTAATGAAGTTAAAACTAAATATTTGTAAATGCTTATGTCACACATGTCATAGCACCAGGAATGTGCCTGTGCTTAGTTTCATTTCTGATGAAAGGGAAGTAGTCTTTCTAATTTGCCACCTGCATCTTTCCAAGAATGCTGCAGTCTCAGGCTTGGCATTGTCAGAGTGTGCAGATAACTAGAAAGTATAACCACACCATTTTCACTGGGCAAAGCTGAAAAGACCTTAACGGTGAAAGAAGACAAATAGGATTTTTAAGCACATCCTAAAAAGTCATCCAAATGCTCTGCAGTTAACCAAAAAAAAAAGTTGTGTTTTTTTTCCAATCATTTCCAGCCATCAGTGAATAACTAATGGCAAATGTTTTGCTTTGGATTTTGAAGGCTAAAATGTGATTTTTAAGTTTTTACCTGAGTTTGTGGTCTGTGTGGAATAGGAAGATTATTCTGCAGCACAGTGAAATGGTTGTGGTGTGAATGGCAACCTCCACTTTGTAGGTTAACTAATTTTCAGGTTTGCCGGGGTCACTGATGTGACTTCAGGTATTTCAGGAGCTTTAGTAACGGGAACTATGCGCTTTTTATGGGATTCTTAGTCTTGGGCACTTCTAGACTCTGCAGTTCACATGCTTTTCCAGAGCATTCAAAGGGTCTTCTGTGTAAAATACTTAAGCAGTGGTTTCAGCTACTGTAGAATTAGGAGCATAAACAGTCCTGCATTTTGTATTTGTAGTATAAAACCACCCTCCCCACGTAAAACAAGCAATTCTATCTCAAAATCACCTTTCTGTGTTGTCAGTGGGTCTTTGTGAGGAGCTCCTGCTGTATCCAAGATAGCCTAGAGGTGACTGGAAGGACTTTGCTCTCTTGGCAATGTTAGGTTTCTTCCACAAAATGCATGGCATGTCCTTGTAAGCTCTTTGGTTTAACTTAGCTTTAGTTTGAGTCTCAGGGTAAGCTGTAAACCCTGCTGCTGTCTTCCTAGCCTTTTAACTAGCTGGTGTTAAGGACTAGGGCCTGCTGTGTGAATAGTAGATTTCTGCTACTCTGGGGAAAGATGGGAAACTTGCAGCTTCTGTTTCTCATCTGTTATTTTTTTTATTAGTATTGTGTCTAAATATGCAATGGTATAAGCTACACCACTGCCTGTATCGTGGTAATGCTGAGACACCCCAATTTTAAAGGGTCTCTGCTTGTGCTGGGCATTGCAGCTATGCAGAGAAAACCAGTTTCTTCTGCTGACAGCTGAAATCTCCTGTTACTGGGTTCTTGCTTGGCTGTGGCTTCTCTGCTGTATGTGGAAATCATTATTTGCATGAGTGATTTACTGAATACCTAGAATATGACCAAGCCAGGGTTTTTATACCGTGTCTTAAAATCAGCTTAACTTTGAGGTGTGACTGACATTTACACTGCGATTGGGGTTTTTTTTTAATGGTTGTCTCCCATGTCATGCAGGATTTCTGTTATCTAATACACTTTTTTTTTTTTTTTTTCTGATGAAGAGGACTAAAAGGCTTTTCTCTGCCTGAACTCTGACTTCTAAAGCTGTTAAAAACTGAAGAGTTGAGGCTGTAGGGGTTAAATTTGGTGGAAACTGGCCAAAGAAAATCATCATTAGAGAAAGGTGGAAAGGGGATAGAATAATATGGAGACAGATACAAAGAAAAAAGAAAAGTAGCAGTGACATAAATCTCTTGGGAAACATGGAGAAAAAGACAAAGCATTATGCTTGGATTTGTAAATCATGCTAGTATTTAGCTAATCCCATATCTGTGCCCATGTAAGGCAGAATTTGCCTGAAGGGTTCCATATGTTATCCTGGTTGGGGGCTAATGGCTGTGTCATGATGTGTAATTGTTGATGTCATCCTTCAAGCTCACACTTTATTTTTTTTTTTTTTAACTAATTCACTTTTAATGTCCCTTCTGTTTTAGGAAAATGGCTACGTTCATATTCATACCCCCGTAATTACATCAAATGACTGTGAAGGTGCCGGGGAGCTCTTTAAAATAGAGGTGAGTTGGGCTGGGTAGGATTTGTGTTGATTTTTTTTGCTTGCAGAGCAATTCTGGAGCCATTGAAGGTTAGAGGAAACATTTGTCTTCATAAAAGCCTTTTATTTTTATAGTTCTGTGATTATTTTTTCATATAGTAGCCCTTTGTCTCAGCTAATAATTGAGACAGAGTTAAAGGAGGGGTTTTTCTTTGGTGCTGTTTTGTTGTTAATCAGCACTTTTTGTACTGATGAGGTTTTTCTGTCCCTGGTGCTGTGGAAAAGTTTACAAAGAGTAACAGAGCAACATGGAACATCTTAACAAACAGAAAGATCTCTTCATAAGAACCCAAGAGATGGGATGAGACATTTGGGGCTGCGTGTTGCACACAAATACTTCCTAGCTCTGAAATGGAGAATAAAATTTACCTGGCTTTTTCTCCTTTAAATCATGAAATAATGCTTTAAGGGAAAATCCATTTTTTAAACAACTCCTCTTCACCTGTGTAGATATTCTTCCATAAAAGCTATTATTTGTAGGATTTCTTCCTGCCAATATTGCCAGCTCTACTTCCACCAAGCTACTGCCACAGTCTGTCAGTTATTAAGTACTAGCAGAAGGTCTTAACATCTCTAGTGAAAACCTTTCATGTAACTTGAGTACAGCTATAACCATTGAGATCTCCACACGTTTCTCATGCTTCCTAACCCTCCACATCCATGAATCATGAAAAATTCCATTTGCCCTTTATACGTCTGCATTAGAAATGTGCTCTTCTGCCTCAAACAATTACATCTATTGCCACTTATGTTTATTGGCTCCAGCCTTGCTGGTGAATCATCTGAAAGCAAAAGAAAAATTGCTGAAACAGCAGTTGCTTCCCCTGTGGGGTCACATCTTCCACTGCCTGCACAGCATCAGGTTGGAAAACCTCCGTGTGCTGGTTCTTCAGGATCTCAACCAGGGCCCTGTGTGCTGGTTCTTCAGGATCTCAAGGTCTAACCAGGGCTCCTAGTGATTCCCTCCCAGACCAGTCCATGTGGCTCAGCTTTTTGCTTGCTGTGACAATAGAGCTGATTAGCTAAACTAAGTCATTCCCGATGAATTGAGATCCCTTAATGCTCCAAAGGTTCTCTCCAGGCTGTTGCATGCAAATTAAGATGTGAAAACAAGTGATACTTAATGATGAAAAAATTACACAGTTTGCAGCTGTACAGTATATTATGTCTTTGGTACAAAATGTATCCACTTGAAAGCTGGAAAAGATGCAGGACGGCAGCGTAGGTGGCTTGTAGCAACAGAAGCACTGATGGAAGTAGTGATTGAGGTGGTAAAAGTGCAAGGATGAAACTTTTATGAACTGGATCTTAACTGAGTGCATGGTTTAGGGCAAATCCCTTAACCTCACACCGGTGTGGTAGCTTATGTGTAAAATGATGCCTGTCATGGGGAAACATGATGACATCGGTGCTTGAGAGGTGCAGAACAGTCTTATCCCATTAAATGTCCTGTGCCACACAGACAGGACTTCAGAAACACACTTGCTGCCAGGAATGAGGAATTCTCCCTGATTTCCTGTTCCTTTTGGAGCAGCAGTTCATTGCCAGGTGTAATTTAGGGGGGGACTCAGTTTTGTGTCTTCAAACTTCTGCTCAGATTTGCTCTTGGCTGACAGAGAGCCAAGACCACTTCACTCCACTAGAATAGAGAGACTATTTCTTGGAAGTGGAAATCTGGGGGAACTTAAGTCCTCCTTGGGCTGTGGATGTACTGCTCTCAGGCAGAGAAAAATCAGAATAACAATGTTTTTGCTGTATTCACATCACCTGTATATGTTCATAATCAAGTGAAAGATCAACACGTTCCCAAACATCTGTATTACATCACTTTCCAACGAACCTTAAATTCACCACTTGCACAGGACAAGGAGGTTGTGAATTACTGTTGTTCTTATGTTTGAGCAGTAACCAAGAATTATGGTGATAGGACAGAGTGAAAGTGACCTGCAAAGTAGATTGTTTAATTTAAAAAAAATACATAAATCCTGGGTTTATAGCTTCAAAACTAATCCTCCAGTTGTGACCAGAAGATAAATTAATGTCTTCTTTCTCCTGAACTTCTAGTAGCTAGAATATATCTGCTGTTTGAAGTGCATGAAGTTGATAACCTCTCCAGTTTAGCTCTCCTGCTGGTGGTAAATGTTGGAAACTTTGTACCAGCCAACTTAGGGCCCTAGCAGAGGCTGCATTTTGTTGCCTTGTCAGCCTGTGTCTTTTAATAGGTGTCTTCTCTTGACTAGTAATTTTAACCCTCTGACTAATGTCCAGTTGCTCTTCAGACCTCTGCATTCTTCAGAGATGATGGAAAGTGAAGAGGAATCTGTTTTTACATGAGGCTGGAAGAGATGGGAAAATAGCTGGAATTAAAAGGGAAAGGCTTTCCAAAGGCATACGGTCCTTTATTCCTAGACCTCTTAACCAGTAGGATTTGTGTTTGTTTATATGTCTGGCTTCCTCATTATCTCTGTTTGGTTTTGTGAGTACTGCTTAGTCTGTGCATAGTTTGGTTGGGATTTTCTCATACTAGGACTTGGGACAGGGATGAGAGGAATCCCTCTCCCCTCTGCAGGGCGGATGGATTGGGAAAATATTTAAAAATGAAATACTCCAACAATAAATCACACCAAGAAGAGGATAGTAAGCTGAATAAATAATAATAATAATAATAATAAAAAGGAAGGTGACATGAACTTCAGAGAAAACCTATTTGCTACTCTTGGTGCTAAGGGAGAAAACTAATTTCAAGGAGTAGAGGAATTCCAGGTGAAACTGCCAGAAGTGTTAAAACAGGCAGTGAAATCCTTTCATGCAGCGTGTCGGTAATAGCAGCTCGCAGGTATCTGCGCTTTGGACTGTACCTTCTTCTGGTGGAACTAGAGGCAGGAGGACCTCTTGCATGTGTTGTCTTTTTTAAAAAATACACTCACCAAAAAAGCTTTGCATGTTTAAAGTTGGGTTTTAGTAGGATGCAAAGTTAGGATGGGATAACTCGTGAAATAGGGAGGATTCAGATGCAGGATGAGAGGTCACCTTGTATTTTATTTTAATTTAATCTGAGAATAATTCTTCTGCCTCAGTTCTCCGAGCTCCTCAGGGCACATCCTTTCCCCAGTTCTTTTTCTCGTAGTGGCTTTGGCTGTTGCAAGACATTTGACACAGTCCCTTTCTGGGGATGCCTCCTAGGAAATCCTCCCTCCTTTCACATTTGTCACTTGGCTGCGTATCTGCTGCCTACTGCTTTCAGAATTATCCCACTCAGTCTGTTGCGTTGAAGGCTCCCTGCTTCCTGACTTGCTTGCTCTGTCTTCTTTGTATCCTTGAAAAACTCCTTCCTGGGTTATCCTGGGTTGTTCCGAGGAAGGTGCAGCCTCCTCTACCCTCTGGAAGAGTCTCCCTGACCCAGTGCACAGCCAGGACACGGCTGGAGGCAGCCACCGTCGCTGCCACACGTGCAGAACTCGGCGTGCAGCGATGGAGAAAGTGCAGCAGCCACGTGGGCACTCACACCTCTAGGGCTCGCCTGCATCTCCTGTGTGTTTTATATTGCCATCCAGGTATTCTTTTTTTCTAATATGTGTGCATGAAGACTGCAGGTCCATGGTCTTGCCTACCATGGCACCAGAAATATGTACATCTGTTTGCTGAAGATGCAAGCCTATCCGCACCATTCCCTCAGTAATTCCAAAACCTTGCCAGCACCAAAGGAGGCAGGGATCAGTTGGGCAGAATCACAGTTAAGTGCAATTGTGTTAGTGTCTGTCAGGTGCTTTCCCTCTGGAGAAGTGTCATGGTCTGGGAGGCAGCCAGTACCTGGGAGACTGACACTGCGGAGAGCTCTTCAGCAGAGGTGGGAATAAGCTGGGCCTTGGCTGAGGGGAGGCTTGTCCCTCCTTTCCAGATTCTTCCCCTTTCTCTTTGTTTCTACCTGCTGCCTCTCTGCTCCTATTTCCATGCCACATCCATGAGATGTTTCTCTTTGCAGAAGCAGCTGCAGTTGCCCAGTGTCCAGCTGCGCATTGCCGTTGCCCAATACAGTCCATCTCACCAGAATTAGCACTGGAATTGCAAGGAGGTCTTGTTGGAAGTTAAAAGATTTGCAGTCCTTGTCTAAAGTGAAAAACCTGGTCGTGTTTTTGAAGGGACATCACAGAGGGCAGGTCCGGATTCCGGTTCTGATACTGGGAAGCTTCAGCAGCATTTGCTCGTGTGCCTGTGCTAGAGCTTGAGCAGGGATTTCTGTGGGCTTTTCAAGTCTGCTCTGATCCCTTCACGCATTTGCCATCTCATGGTTTATACTTCCCTGAAGCTAATAGCTCGAAGCAAAAAGTTAATACAAGACTGACATCAAAGGGAATAATGTTAAATGAAATCATTAGACCTTTGAGGAGAAGGAGAGCAAAACAGGTACTGAATCCAGTTGTTCTCGTATTTAGAATGAGAATAAAAACCTTTGATGGTGACTTCCAATCCTGGCATGTTCAGAGTGCGTTTAATCTGAGATGCTAAGATATTATTTCAGAAAGATTCCACCTTCCCCCCTGTAACTTGGACAGTTTTACATTAGGCAGTGCAGAGAACTTGTATGAAAGCAAACTATTTCTCCCCATCTTTTATCAAAAAGGTATTTTCGGAATTTACAAGTGAGAAAAAATCCCATCGAATTGAAATAGAACCACTACAATGTTGTTACTCCATTTGCCAGTCCGAGACATGAAAAACAATCTCGCTCAACGTCAGCTGCAAAGGGAGAGCGTTATTAGCTATTTTTATTTTTTTTTCTATCATTTATTACACATGGTTGCTTACAGTAAAGAAGCAGGCTTGATCCAAAGGCTTGAGCATGAATCCACGTCATAGACGCTTAAAAATATTGGCCTCTTTCTGTGTTTGGGTGTGTAAAATGGAGGAGGAACCACCTCTACTGAGTTCTCCAGTATTTGCATATGCGAAATGGGAAGTTGCTAATTACAGGGAACTGCCTGGCTGAAGTGGTCCCTCCTGCTCCCGAAGGAAAAGGGAGGCCTTGCTTCTTCCCCGGAGTGGCAAGTGGATGGATTTTGCAGCTTGCAACAGTCATTCATCGAGCTTTGTGTCAATTGGGCATCTCTTAGAAGGAAGTGATGGAGATGGCGATGAGGGGGTAAAATTGGATCCACATTTTGCTACATTGACTCTGCACTTCTAGGACCGGCTCCTTACAACACGTGGTTGCACCTTGGTGTCCGAGTGGCCTCTGTCACATTGGTTGCACATTTTGAAAGTTGAGTTGTGCTACAGTCTTCCAGTCATCCTCTAGTCACTTGCTGTTGTCTCTGTGTTCCCCTTGCCTCACTGAGAGGACATCTGATTCGGAGATGAAAAATGACATAAAGTCATATAAATAAACCAAGCCCCAGCTCCTGCAGACAGCTGTATCCTGTTTGTGGTTGTGGGGGGAAGTTTTGAGATTTCATGGCTTGATTCCTTCTGTTCTTTTCCTGCTTCCAGTCTGTCTCTTTCTTGTTGTTTAAAAGTTGCATCCTACAGGATTAGGTGGGATTTTTCTCTTGATGAGCCAGGAATGTAGCCGAATAGGAGCAACCAAGTGTAGGTGGGAGCTTTTCTGTTCTTCTCTCTGGAGTTTTAGCCATAGCCATGGTTGTCGTATGTGGATGTTTGCATGTTTATTCACATGATTGTTTCTGAACAGAAACTCTGTGTTTGTTTGAAGAAAACACTAGGAACCTGGTTCTGCATCCTTGGTTTTTCAAAACCTGCAAAACCCATGAAAGAAAGGAAGCAGCCCCGGGGTTGCAGCCACCCAGTGTCACATTCCCATTGATCTCCATGGAGCAAGGCGGGCTCACCCTGTTCTTCAGTGTGATGTTATAAAGAGATAAACTGCCTTATGATCCCTTTAATCTTTGTGATGAGCAGCAGAGCTTTTTTTTCTAAAAGCAAAAGCAGCGCTTTCCTACTCATGGAGAGAAAATGGCAGGCTGTAAAACCACCAAGAGCTGGTGAATAAACAGGAGCCCCAACCTCCCCAAGGCAGAGCAAGCTGAGGACCCGGCTGGCTGGAGACAGAGCAGACCTGTCAACACTGAGCGCAGCTCCTGGGGGCGGTATATTAAAAACATGAGTATTTCCAATTTATCTCAGAAGGAAGTATTCATTTTTGAAGTGGATTTAGATTACCCAAATCTCAAAACAGATTGTAAGGTTTTTCTTTCTCCTGAACCTGTAGATCCCCCCAGAGCTTAGGGATGACATTGAAACACTGACACGAAATCTCATTTATCTTTGTAGGGTTTTTTTAGTCCTTTTTTTTTAAATACACTCTGTTCAAGTGACTCATGTTGTAATCATGGAGGTGTTTTAGTTTTTGTTATATGTCTATGCATTAAAAAACAAACACAGTGCTTTGATAGGATTTTCAGACCATTTTTCTGCATTCAGTACTGAACTTGCAAAGTTTCCATTATGTGTAGATATTTTTATGCTTAAAATATCTAGTGACCTAAAAAATATGCAAAAGCTAGAAGAAAACAACACTTGTTTTTCAGTGCCTATAGTGTAAGCTGCAATGTTTCCAACTCCAAATTATTTTTTTTTTTTTGTATTTTAAGACAGACACAGTGAAATCTTCAGAGGATATTCCATTACATTTCCATTTTCTGAGTACTGTTTGTTTGCGTGCAATGGAAACAAATTTGCCCATGAAAGGAAAATAGCACAGGTTTAAAAAGTCTTTATTAGAAGTCAGTGCACCTGACTCGTGGAAAATACTCCTCCGCTTTCACATCAGACTTGAAATTGATTTTGAAGGCAATGCTGCGTGAAGCTTTGAACTCCCGAATAATAGAAATTCTTTACTGCCTCCCCTGTTCCCCTAGATCTTGGTAGGAAACAGTCAAAAATTGCTACTTATATTTGGAGACGGGGTTGTTGCACTGTCTTCTTTCCTCTGCGTGTTGCTGGGCAAATTGTTCCTCAAAGGACATTCCAGAGGGACTTTCATTTCGTCATGTCTGTGTTTCTTAAAGCGTGCGATATGGTTTGTCTCCCTGCTCCCAACGTCCAGATAGAGCCCTTAGCTATGTGTATATGTATATGTGTGTGTGTGTGTGTAATGAAAATGCTGCAAAATGAATATCCAGCCATTTCCTCTGCCCACCTGGGGAACCAGAATTAAAGACCACTCTGACTTTTACCTCTTCTGTTTGTTCACATCCTTTCTTATAAAATGGTGGATATGTCCTTCCTGATATTCCATTTTGCATTTTATCTCCTCTCTTTCTACAACATCTCTTCCTAATTTAGTTTGTTCGTGCTTAATTGTGTAAATTACACAATTCTTTGCTCTGGGTAAGATCTAAAGCACCTGACAAAGGCAAGAGGTGAGAGGTGGTGGGGAGTTGAGTGCTTTTAGCTCTCCAGATGGCCCCTCTGCTGTCCCCTTTGGGCAGACAGTCAAATCCCCTGAAGCTCTGTCACTTAAATGTAATTTAGTTCACCCAAGCTAAACTGGTATAAGTGATTGTCAGGGATCTAATTTACAGTCCCCACCAGTTTGAGCAATGGCTGAAGCAACTGCATGTCCCTCCTCTGTTCAGGCAAGTCCATACTTAAATATAATTTAAGTTCACCCAAGCTAGACTGGTATAAGTGATTGTCAAGGATCTAATTTAGTCCCCACCAGTTTGAGCAATGACTGAAGCAACTACATGTCCCTCCTCTGTTCAGGCAAGTCCAGGTGACACTGGTGGTGGGTGTCACTTCATCAGCTTGTTCTGATACCTGCAGCCTGTATCCTCATAAGTCACTGAAAAAAGAGAGATTTAAGTGGTGGCTTTTCCCATTTAGTGTGAGGCTTTTCACTGTGCAGCCACATTAATTGCATCAGACCCCAAGAAAGGGAAGTTCTCAGGAGTGTTTTGTCTTGTGGGTTTTTTTTTCATGTGTTTTGCTTGAATTTGTTTGCTAACAGGCTCTAAAACCATCCGAGGAAAGATGGGGAACATTGTGTTATGACTTTCCACATGGCTGGATTCTGTCTCAGTGCTATTTGGATTGAATCTGGTGGAATTTCTTGAGGGAGGAGGGAGAAAAGGAAAAATAAGCAGGAGCTGTGCTCTTTAATCAAACACTGATAGTCTCTAGTCTGACTTGTGTTTTTTTTTTTTTTTTTTTTTTTTTACTTGCAGACATCAAATGAATCAAGGGAGTCCACAGAAAAGGACCATTTCTTTGATGTGCCTGCCTTCCTGACAGTGTCTGGCCAGCTCCATTTGGAAGTGATGGCAGGGTGAGCAAAATGAGAGTCTTTAGCTGGATCCCCAATCACAAAATCACTGCACTGGTGATTCTACCCCACTGGTAACCGATAGCCTGTCTGCCATGTGTGTGTCAAAAACACATTGAGCAGCACTGGTGGGAAAGCCCCATCTAGCCAGGGGAAAGGCAAACTTTTGAATTCTGGTCTGTGAACTGGCTTCTAATACTAGGAATCTCACTCTGCTTGCCAGAGATTGGGAATATGGAATGAGGACTGAAGACCCTCATGACTGGGAATGACTGTTACCTATAACTGTAGTACCTTGAATACCAATTATTATTATTATTCTTGTTCATATACACCATCTCTCAGTGATAAGTTCTTTTTCCTAGCTGTTACATTCCTTTCTTCTCCTTCCATCTTCCAGTCTTCCTTCTCTGTCTCCTTCAGACAGCGTCTTCCTGTAGTATTTCTTCCTTGGCCAGTTCTCATTTCTACTGTTTCATGGCTTTTACACTTTATGATTTGTTCATTCCAGCTGCTGAAATGATCCCAGCCAAATAGTTAATGTTGATGTTAATAGAAAAATTATTCTTAAGCTTTAATGTTAACGTTTCACTGAGATTGTTAGGGGTGAAAATGTCACAATCTCAGAGCCACAGTTCCCTTTGATTAGTAGATTTGATCCTCATCTGCAATGGGCTTTCACAATAAATTAATTAAATCAGCACATTAAACAGATGGAGTTCAATCAGCACAGGCCCTTAGCTGAAGGCTCGGTTTCCTGAGCACTTTTAGCATGGGTTTTCCTCAGACTCGAGCCAAATTACTGTCTACCAGCTGAATTGATGGTGGAGCTGATCAGAGAGCAGTTTTTGGGCAGGTAGCCCAAATCATGTGTCAATTTGCCACTTGCAAAGGATGTTCTTTGTGCACCTACAAGATATCCAAGCCTCCCTTTGAAGTGATTAGTTATTGTGCAGTATAAAAGGCCTGAAGACGAGAGGGTTAAAACCATAGCTTTAGAAAACCTGGTAAGAAATTGGAAGACCTGCCTTTTCATGTGCACTCTAATGACTATTCCTAATAGTATAAGTTGCTGTCCATGTCTCAAATACGTTGTTGAGACCTGAGTAATAAATATTTAGCTCTTTTTCTTTAATCACTGCTGTAGAGTTTAATTGTCTGTTGGTAAAAAGGTACAGTGAAGTTGTAGCCCAGTTCAAAGGAGAAGCTTTACCTTCAAATCAAAACATGTGAAGTTCTCCAGAAAGCTGTTTTCTGCTTGGCTTGTGCTTTCTGAGTGATTATGTCTCTTCTCAGACCACCTAGACAGCCTGGGACAGCTGGGACCAGGCTAAGCTCTATGGTTCAGGCTAATGTTTCTTGATGGACACGATGTTTTTGACATGCTCTCATGTGGTGCCTTGGCAGCTATGACAGAAGCACAGATCACTTGGCAGCCAAAGGCTGCCACGTCTCAGACATTAGCTGGGAGAAGTTAATGAGCAAAAGGTTTGTTAAACTGGAGGGATGACGGAGTTTTTGCATCCCCCTGGGAAGATGGCATGGCCTGTGTTGTGTGTGTGTAAGACTTAATTGACATTCACAGCTTCACCAAAGGATGTAATTCTGCAATCGAGTAAGTCCAAAGAAAAAGCAGAGATTGTAATGATTAGCTTGAAATACAGTCTCACTCTGGTACATCAGTCTGCTCCCTGTAAACTGCACGCAGGCTGCTCTGGGAATGAGTGGAGGCTGAAACTGGGAGTACACAGGACCACTGTGTACCACTAAATAATCTTCCAGCAGTACCACTCAGGTGCATCATCTTCTCACAAAATGGATAAAAAAAAGCAGTGCTCTTCAGTATGCAGTACGTTGTATTGCATCTTCATTCTCCTATTTTACAGAAACATGTTGTTCTTCCAGGCATTTTGTGTGGATCCAGTGCCATCTAAATTTAGACCAGCTATATTAACCCATGGGAGGGCATAGCTGTTCTGTGAACCTGTTCCTTTTTTCTTGTATTTAAGCACAAGAAGTTTTCAAGACCTAGAGCTGAAGTGCTGTTGAATTACTTCAGTCTTCAAAAATAGATCAAGTGAGAGCTCTTCTGGATGCAGAAGCACTACAGTGATGTATTGCAGTTGAGTTAAGGTATTAACCCTTCAGATTCTGCAAGGAGATTATTTGTGATTCCCTTTACAGAGCCCAGCAATTCAGGTTTTAGCCTTTGAGTGGGACTCCTGTGTGATCAGATCATGTAAGTAAGTAGTAGTTAGGTAAAAGTGGAAAAGTTCTGGTCTTCTTAGAAAATGAAATAGCCAAAATACAAGCCATGTTTTGAATTTGATCATGTGAAATTAACCTTTCCTCTCCCTTCTGCTTTAGCCAGATTAAATATTTCATATCCAGAAAAGGAGCTATTCTTCAGAAAATGCTTTTAACTTAAAAACTTTGTCTTGCTGCATTTCCAAGGCTTTTGGAAACAACCGATTCCTGACAGCTTGGGTAGAAGCTAAGGTAAAAAATGCTTGGGAGGCCCTTCTGTGCTGAGCCTGGGCCCACATCTTCAGTCACTTGCTGCAGGAAGTGGGAGTTAGAGACAGAAGTCCCCAGAGAAGAAGGCTTCCCACAGAAGTCTGTTAGAAACCAGCGGTGGAGAAGGCTAGTTGAGAGAGAGAGGAATTTATTCCAAGGTTTACGCAGTGGGAGGACGGAGAGACAACTAGGTAGACAGTCATGTGTGCTTGGAGCTGGCTTTTAGTTTGGAGAGCTCATGATCAGATTCCAAGCTGTAGTTGGAAAAGTGTGGGCTGGGGAAGTCTGAGGTAGACTCAACAGATCTGTCTGGACCCAAATC